AAGAAACTTTAAAAAATGTAGGCTACTTGAACTAGGTAAAAAATATTGATTTCTCGATTTTAATCGATTCTCATTGATTTTTACGAACCGTTGGGCTATGCTGTTTTCAGTTGATGAATGAATGGAACATTGTAGCGAGCATCCCATCCAATAAATCGCAATAATCTTTGTGCTTTGTTACTATTGATATGAAACAAAGTCTCAGATTTCAAATTAGGTCCATTTTCTTACGAAATTCAAAAACATAAATAGTGTTTTGACGCTGTTGCGTGAGATCGCTCTGGCTCAGCTCAGCTCAAGAGAAGCAGCAGCGCGGAGCGCACATGATCTTCTCTTCCGCCTTAATAATACCAGTTACAGCGCGAAATAAACATGAACGAGCATCTGAAAGTGTGCTAAAAGATAGAGTACAACTTATCGAAATCCGTATCTTTCACATGGAATCGCTCAATCAGTGTTTCAACCGTGGAAAGACGTCAGTAAAACGCTTGTAAACAATGTAATGTAAAGTCACATTTACCTCAGAAAAAACATATCCAGTGACCATAAACTCGTTAGCTAGCTAGAAAAATTAACTCTAGAGGAGCATTGTGCCTAATATATGCACCATATTACATATTCATTATATTTTTTTATGTTTTTCAATATTTAATGCATGTTGTTTGAAAGAAATTTGGCAAGTTTTTATGCAGCCACCATTTAAATGTTTATATTTCATATAACTTTATTATTATAAAAAATAAATAAAAGTGTAATTTAAGTGTTTGTGTACAAATCAGGTAATTTTTACCTTCAATATTATAGTAGGCTAATGAAGCATAGTGGGCTACAACTGACTCCCAGTTTACAGCATTAGTTGAGATTTTATTTGATTATGTATTGTACCTGATATCCAAAATAATCAATATTGAATCGAATTGTGGAATTTGTGTCAATACCCTGCCCTAACTTGAACAATGTAAAAACAGCACTTTATTTTTTTTTTTTTTTAAGATTTATATTTTTATATACAGTATAATTGTGCTTCAAATAAAAAAAATAAAAACTACACCTTATTCTTGTTTAAAACCATATATATGAAGGTATGGAGCGTGATAAAAAGGTGACCTTGAAATTGTGGCGTTAAAGGCGACGAGAGACGAGGAAAAATTTGAGTGCACCTAAATAAAAAAGTTAGGCACACCAGTGCAACCAAGGCAAAAAGTTAGTCTGGAGCCCTGTTGATTGATTAGTTGGTTGATTGATTGATTGGTTGATTGATTTGTTGGTTGATTGATTAGTTGGTTGATTGATTGATTGATTGATTGGTTGGTTGGTTGATTTGTTGGTTGATTGGTTGATTGATTTGTTGGTTGATTCATTGATTTGTTGGTTGATTGGTTGATTGATTGGTTAGTTGATTGATTTGTTGGTTGATTGATTAGTTGGTTGATTGATTTTTTGGTTGATTGATTGATTGATTGATTGGTTGATTGATTTGTTGGTTGATTGATTGATTGATTGATTGATTGATTTGTTGGTTGATTGATTTGTTGGTTGATTAATTGATTAGTTGGTTGATTGATTGGTTGGTTGATTGATTGGTTGGTTGATTTGTTGGTTGATTGATTAGTTGGTTGATTGATTGATTGATTGATTAGTTGGTTGATTGATTGGTTGGTTGATTGATTAGTTGGTTGATTGATTTGTTGGTTGATTGATTTTTTGGTTGATTGATTGATTGGTTGATTAGTTGGTTGATTGATTGATTGATTGGTTGATTGGTTGGTTGATTGATTTGTTGGTTGATTGATTTGTTGGTTGATTGATTAGTTGGTTGATTGATTTGTTGGTTGATTGATTGATTAGCTGGTTGATTGATTGATTGATTTATTGATTGGTTTGTTGATTGGTTTGTTGATTGATTGATTGCTTGATTGCTTGATTGATTGCTCGATTGATTGCTCGAATGGATTTCACTCACGCTTCTTCATTTCTCTCTCCAGTCGAGGCTCATTTCAAGCACAAGCCTTGATGTCGGCGGGACAGACTGGACAATCGACAGCAGTTTCGTCCAGTGACCGACATGGAAGAGCATTGAAACGACCCTTCTTACCTTGATTTAGTGCTAACGGACTGAACACTGGCCTGTGTGGACGAGTCTCCAGCGGCGAAGTCTACATTAATCCGGATACATTTAAAAACGGCGTTTTCGTTTAAAAACGCTCTCCGTCCACACTAGCGTTTCAGACGTTTGCGTAAACCCTCACAAAAGCTCACTGAGATGATACAGACAGAAAAATAAATAATAAAGTTATCGCTCAATTCTTCTGACAGGATCATTTTATTTAGCAAAATATCTCATCATTCACTGATGCGTCCAGCAAACTCACTCACCATTATATGTTCGGTCTAAAACTGCTCATGTTTCGCCGCAGGACAGCAAATGCGAGTGAGTTTTCTGCCATCTTTGCAGGACTGTGATATGAAGAGTGTGTAAAGTAACATATTTTAGCAACTGTGTGAATGGCACAACACCGGTATAAACATGAACATCTATTGGTACAACATGCGTCACATGACTAAACTTACATCATAGTTTTTAAATAGCTCTGTTTTGACAGTCCACACTACAACGCCGAAACAGCGTTTTCAAATTTATCCACTTTGGAGAGCGTTTTCAAAAATCGTAGTTTTCGTTAATAAAAACGGCGTCTCAGTGAGAACGGAAGGACAAAACGGAGAGAAAAAGATGCGTTTTCAAACTAAAACGCATTAGCGTGTGTGGACGAGGCCTCAGTTGTCATGAATGTGTTTATGTGTTACCAAAGCAGACAAACTGCTGTCTCAGACAAGCTACTGTACAAATATGGCATGTGAATGTTGTTCATCGCTCTTAAACGTAACATTTAATCTATAAATCACAAGGTGAGCAACGCCACGTGCGTTTTGACTGATGATGATGTTATTTATTGGATTATTCAAGCAAATGCTGCTGTGAGGAGTAGAGGATCCTCGGACGCTACGCAACGTCTACACCGCAAAAACATGATGCCTGACTAGTATTTTTGTCTTGTTTTGCAGTGCAAATAACTAAATATTTACTTGAGAAGCAAAATGACGGACGATTTCTTTAAAAAGGATCAAAATTGAGTTTTTACTTTGAATTAAATGGAGATTTCACTTTGAATTAAGTTCATTTTTCTGACCCCATTGGCATATTTGTTCATGTTTTAAGCATAAACTCACAATATTTGGCTTCTCAATCTTTGATTTAAGAATATTTAGATATTTGTTCCAGCAAACAGGATAAAAAAAAACTGAGTAAGAAAATCATTTTGCATTATAGGGGTTTGGATCATCTGAAAAACCCTGTTAGAAAACTGATATGATCGATATGATTCTATAGGCTGTTCATTTCATATACTACATACTACTTATGTTGTCTTTGCAGGGCGAATGTGTCAGATATACATCATGAAGACAGTGTGTTCTTGATTTATTTTCCTCCACTAGGTGGAAGCATCTCACAGATTAAGATGCATGTGCCCATCAGTTCTTTCATGCAGAATAGGGCTGATATTAGTGATTTATTGGCCGATATTTGGCCAAATTGAGATTATATGCCAAAAAACAAGCTAACTTGGATGATTGAGACTAGTGCAAAACTGCCGCTCAAAAGTTCGGGATCGGTACGTTTTTTAATGTTTTTAAACGAAGTCTCTTCTGCTCACCAAGGCTGCATTTATTTGATTTAAAAATACAAAACAAACAGTAAAATTGTGAAATGTTATTACAGTTTAAAATTACTGTTTTCTATGTGAATATACAGTAAAGTGTAATTTATTCCTGTGATCAAAGCTGAATTTTCAGCATCATTACTCCAGTCTTCAGTGTCACATGATCCTTCAGAAATCACTCTAAAATGATGATTTAATGCTGAAGAATTATTACAATATGACTGTTTTTTTTTTAATTAAATAAATGCAGCCTTGGTGAGCAGAAAAGACTTATTTTAAAAACATTAAAAATCTTTCAGATCCCAAACTGTTGAACGGCAGTGTAGTTCCCCTTATCTTAGTCAGTGGGTAAAAAAGGTTAAAAAATATGATTTTATTGAGTGAATATTATATTTTTCATTTAAGAAATTGAATTTGCTGCCTTTAAATTGCATTATGTATGTATATATATATATCGGCCGCCCTGCTTTCTGAATATTGCTATCTGCGATTAAAAAGACACACACTGGCTGACCACTACTTTATATACAATATCTTTAATTTGAGCCAGACTACATCTGCTGACTGTGAAGGATGCATAAGAGAATTATACAGGTTTTCTATAATAGATATGAATGTTTAGATGGCAGGTTATGATATCGATAATCTGATCCTGATGGAGCTCAGTTCTTCTTTCCGCAGGTCCTCTTGTTCAGGTTATGATGCTATTCAGGTGTTTTTCTTCAGATTTGTTTAAAATATGAAAACATATCTTGGCATTATCATAGTTTTTTGGGGGGTTTTTTGGACTAAAAGATAAAGGATGGTGGTTCTGAGGCCTGTCATTATTTTAAAATGAAAAATAATACGTTTGATCAGGACCCGAGGAGTGCTTTATTTGTGCATTATCCTGCTCATTATGCGCCTACTTATGAATAAATACATGGACATTAAATATTTGTGTTGAAATTGTTTTGTTTGAAGAAAGAGACCACGGTAAATATGAAAGTACATCTAATCCTATCACTGCACTGTAACACCATGGTGCTTTTTATAAGAGTTAGTGTTTGATGTTTCTGGTCTGAAAATCATTTGCATATTTTAGGACCAAGAAGATCATGTTGAGTTTAAAATAAATAAAAGCATATGTCATACAGTGAAAAACAAAGACGGCTATTCTGAAGGCAGAAATCACACAAAGACAATACTATACTATAGACCTAAACTGAGGACTAACTTAACAACTAACTTAAACATACATTAAAAATGGGCTTGTTTAAGATGCATTTGCATATTGCAAGTGCAACTATTATATATTTTTTTCTTCTTTAAAATGATCAAATACAGTGCAATGTCAAGACTTTCACGGGATACATTTTCTGTGCATTTAATTTTATTATATAATTATATATTATATATAGTGTTGCCATGCAGTCTTATTTTTGTAGCATTGAGAAATATGTACTTAAATCATTAAAATTATAACTGAAATAAAATTAATAAAACTGTAGATATGTTAAAAAAACAATAATTAAATAAAAATGACAAAATAATAAAATGACAAAAAGTAAAAAATGGAAAATAAAAATAAAAGCTAATTCAAAATATTTAAAATAATATCTCAGGCGTACTAAAATAAGATCGCACTGTATATGAATATGTAAAATGAAATGCACAGATAATGTATTCTTTAAAAATCTTGATATTGCACTATTTTCATAATTCTATTTTCAATTTCATAAGTTGCAATATGTAAATGAATAAATGGATCGTAAACAACAGAACAAAATTTTATTTATTTTTATATTTGTGGTTGGAATTGCATGTTCTCAGAACATTGTTTTGTATGTGTGTGTGTGTGTGTGTGTGTGTGTGTGTGTGTGTGTATGCTATGTGTCTATGGGGGGGTGGGCTGTGGGGGTGGTGGGGTGTGTGGTTGGGGGGGTGGGTGTGTGTGGTGGGTGGGGGGGGTTGTGTGAGTGTTGTGTGTGTGTGTGTGTGAGAGAGAAAGAGACACCGTTGCCTGACCTGATGCATTCCACTGCCTTCCTTCCCCATCAGTCTGGCTCCACTGCCCCGTGGAACTGTGGGTAAGTCAATGTTGTTTCTGTCTGGCTGTGTGTTGTCATTGGCGTCCGGGCTGTGCAAGACACACTCACACACACACACACACACACACACACACACACACACACACACACACACACACACACACACACACACACACACACACACACACACACACACACACACACACACACACACACACACACACAGCAGGAGGCTGTTTGCAACCCAGCAGGAAATCATTAAATTAGGGTGGAGTCGCACAAGCTCTGGACATCCGTTCTTCATGAGACTGATCCAGGGAGGTAAAGACTCAAGAGCCGCCGATCACCGCTTACACTGTTCAGATCAGGGTGTGAATTTTGGTTTTAGAAAAACCTTACAATATTTGATGAAACATCATGTCCAGGGACATTATAGCCTGGAAATGTATCAATAACATATATAACATTATAGCCTACAGCAGTGTTTCTATATTCATGTTACTTTAGTGAGGCCAGAAGATGGTGACTAATGAATTTATGAGTGAGTCATTGAATCATTCATTCAACCGATTCATTCAACAAAACAGGATAACCGTATTTATGAGTGAGTCATTGAATCATTCATTCAACCGATTCATTCATTCAACAAAACAGGATAACCGTATTTATGAGTGAGTTATTAAATCAATAACTCAACCGATTTGTTCATTCAGTAAAACAGGATAACCGTATTTATGAGTGAGTTATTAAATCAATAACTCAACCGATTTGTTAATTCGGTAAAACAGGATAACCGTATTTATGAGTGAGTCATAGAATCAATAACTCAACCGATTTGTTCATTCAGTAAAACAGGATAACCGTATTTATGAGTGAGTTATTAAATCAATAACTCAACCGATTTGTTAATTCGGTAAAACAGGATAACCGTATTTATGAGTGAGTCATAGAATCAATAACTCAACCGATTTGTTCATTCAGTAAAACAGGATAACCGTATTTATGAGTGAGTTATTAAATCAATAACTCAACCGATTTGTTAAATCGGTAAAACAGGATAACCGTATTTATGAGTGAGTTATTAAATCGATAACTCAACCGATTTGTTAATTCGGTAAAACAGGATAACTGTATTTATGAGTGAGTTATTAAATCAATAACTCAACCGATTTGTTCATTCAACAAAACAGGATAACCGTATTTATGAGTGAGTTATTAAATCAATAACTCAACCGATTTGTTCATTCAGTAAAACAGGATAACCGTATTTATGAGTGAGTTATTAAATCGATAACTCAACCGATTTGTTAATTCAGTAAAACAGGATAACCGTATTTATGAGTGAGTCATAGAATCAATAACTCAACCGATTTGTTCATTCAGTAAAACAGGATAACCGTATTTATGAGTGAGTTATTAAATCAATAACTCAACCGATTTGTTAATTCGGTAAAACAGGATAACCGTATTTATGAGTGAGTTATTAAATCGATAACTCAACCGATTTGTTAATTCGGTAAAACAGGATAACTGTATTTATGAGTGAGTTATTAAATCAATAACTCAACCGATTTGTTCATTCAACAAAACAGGATAACCGTATTTATGAGTGAGTTATTAAATCAATAACTCAACCGATTTGTTAATTCGGTAAAACAGGATAACCGTATTTATGAGTGAGTTATTAAATCAATAACTCAACCGATTTGTTAATTCGGTAAAACAGGATAACCGTATTTATGAGTGAGTTA